TTTGTCTCGTTGCTTCTAAGCCTGCTTTGCTTTTCTTTCTTGTTTTGTTTTATCATTTCTCTTTCTCAGTTCTCCCTTTTTAAAATAATAATTTTCATCAGAATTTTCACTACGAGACGCATCAATACTTTTTGAAGTTATGGCACTGATTGAAGCAGCTGTTGCAATGATCTTATTGATTAAAGTCAAATCAGTGACTCTAGAAATGTCATCCCATTCTAATTCAATGCTTTCTTTTGAATCGGACGCCAAAAAGTCAGGGTCCTTAAGTGAATCATCAGAATCTGCTTGAAAACTCAAATTTGTTGAAAGGTCACATTCGTTGGGTTACAGTCTGACTGGTTCTAAGTTTATGTATTTTTTAACTTCTTCTTCTTCATTCTCACGCTCTCCATCATCAGATCATGGATTTATTATTTCCATTGACTGCACAATTTGTAAAAATTTTTTACCACGAGATCCCATGTTTTAAATATCTTTTGTCAAATTGTTAACAAATAATGTGTGACAATAAAACTGTTAATAATCGAGTCAATTTGATACTTACCTATTAAAACTTTTTAAGAGAAATTAATGTATTGTAGTTTGATGGTACACATAACACACATAAACACAGAGTGACTGATCACAATAAACTGACAAGCTCCAACACGCTTCACTTTAAATCTAAAAGATCTCTAAGTGGGATGTGTCGTGATAAAGCCATGCTGTTGCTAGATTTAAAAGCAGTATCTCTATTTTCTGTGGGAGATACTGCCTTTAAGGCTTGTAGACGGTTCTTAATACCTTTTAACTTAAGAATATTTAATAACAAGTTGAGTTACTGCTATTTTTTTAGTCCATCAGATCAATAGATGAGTACTTACGGCTTTCTGGCTTTGGCAAAAATTAAAACAAGCTTAATGTCTAAAATGGTAGAACTGTTGTTCTTATTTTAATGGCCGTTTTTAACGAGAGGCTTCTTGTAAGCCGTTTTGAATAAAGTGTTTGCAACGAAATAGATATTTCTTTTGGATACCTGGTGTAGTATAAAAGCTGTTTTTTTAAAAAATAATAACCCAAAATCTTAAAATAGCACTAAAGAACGGTCGATCCTTTTTCGTTCATTAGACAAGGCATGTCAAATTTAAAATCAGGTATTTTAAATTGTCAAATACGCACGTTACACATTAATGACAAATATTGGGAACCTTCTTTAAAAAAAGATCTAAAAGGCTCACGCTTTGTGAATTTTCTATTATACCTATAACATATGCTAATAAATTACTGTATTGCAGCTTCACATTCACTGTACCATTTATCGAATTCCTGTTATTTTCCTCATTAAATTTATTGAACCTTCTTAGATCCTAAACTAATTTACTAATAGAATCTTAGTCACCTATTCGGCGTGAATATAACTTCAGCTGAAGTGGAAGTAGAGTAGGTATACTACATTCTACGAAGTAATGTATTTTGCTATCTCTGTCTCGTTTCAGATGATCTCCCAGTGACGTACCTCCACATATTAATTGATGAATTCTTGTTCGTATAATTCATTTTATCAAAAATTTAACTCTTAGTTGTTTTGAGTGAGACTTCTTTTGAACGGTATTTATTGTATGGCTTTTATCATTTGGGCAAATAACAATAAATGTCTACCTAGAATTCGCGTATTTTATTTATAAGTAATGTTTCAAGTTTTTTACAGAATTAAGGACATATTGTGTAGGAAATATTTGTGAATGGAAATATATGTATATGTTGTAAGTACATCTTTATCTGGATGCTCTTTGTTCGATATTAAAGCCCACATCCGGAATCACTTCCCAAGTTGATTAATGAGCCAAATCTATTGAACTAAAGGTTAAATCAACGACATATTTACCACCATTTGGTGGAGAAATTCGTGTAGGAGAGCCATCATTTAAAAACACGAATTGTAAAGAATCTAAAGAATTTATTATATTTTTACCGTTTGAGCTATTGAGCAAAATAGGTTTGGTAAATGTCTGAATAAAGTTAGACCAATTATTTTTGGGCAATAAATATTTACTAAATATGATTGGCAGTGGGGAAAATAGATGGCTTGAACTTGAGTTGGAAGATCTATAAAGTAATTTATTAGAAGAGGCTGAAAATCTAAATTGTATTTAATTAAACAGGTTATACCTCGATAGCCATCCAATCTATCATTTCTCAATATTTGGTAACCTCTACACCTTAACCTATAATCTTCCTTTATCCAAGTTTCATTAAGTAGGATTATGTCTGGATTGTGGTCCTTAATTCTTTATATCTTTCACGATAAAAATTTATTTTAATATCTGAGGGGCTCTCTTATATGGAAAAGTACGGGTACGGTATGTCAAGAAAAGAGGTGCTAGAATTAGTAGGAAGCTATGTAAAAGAAAAAGGAATAAAAACGCTGTTTAAAGATGGGGTTCCTGCAAAAGACTGGTTCATCGCATTTAAGAAGAGACATAATCTTTCATTGAAAAAACCACAGACCGTTGAATATGCCCGTCAAAAGCTTGCGATCCCTTCATTAGTTAATTTGACCCAATAAAAAATACGATGGAAAAATTAAATTTGGTGGATAAGCCCGAACTCATTTGGAATTTAGAACAGACCAGCTTCTGCAGAGATCCATCGAAAACCAAGTTCTTGAAACCAACAGAGATGTGGTACAAAACGAGTTAAGAAAAGGTGGAATTTTTCCATTTAATGACAAGGTTGTTCCCGAAGAAGATTATGATCCCGCTGCCCTACAGCAATAGAATGATGACAATAACTTACCAGGGTGCTCTTCTACCACCAACAGAGTAACTGAAATCAGTGCCCTCGATTCAGATCAACTTCATAATATACCAACCGCAAGTTGCTCCACTACTGCCCAGATAGAAGCAGATTCAAATACAGATGTTAGTTTTGAAAAATTGCTTCTTGCGACTATGAAAAATCACACTTCTTATGAGAAAGTAAAGAAAAAGCGGGTATGTCCAGGTGCTGAGGTTATCACTAACGATCAGCAAACATTTTCTATAACATTAGTTATAACTCGACTTTGTTAAAGACGAATTTACTTATTGAGGTAATTATTACGTAAAATTGACTAGAAAAATATACCTCTAATGTAAATTTACCAAACGGTTTTAATTTATATTTAAATTTACGTAAATTATACCAAAAATTCTACCTTTTACACAAATCTGCTTAAAAGTAACTTTAACCATATCAGCAAGGGAAAAACTACTAAAAAAAATAACCAACAATTACTTTAAAGTTAAATTTCCTTTGTAGTAAAATTAGGTGCCATATTTGGGTAATATCTACCTGTTTGGCAACTAAAAATCGTCTTTATAGTAGAATATCCAACTAGGTAGATTTGGTTAAAAATTCTACGTAATTTTATGCCTCCATAGTAACCTATTTGGCCGCTTTTATTTACTCTCCTTTAAAGTAATATTAGGTCGAGATCGTAGCAAAATTCTACCTGTTTATCTACCTAATTTCAACCAAATAGTCGAATACTCATTTAGTTGACCTATAAGTCATCTTGAAGAAATATTTATTAACTTTGTTGTAGCAATTACCTGAAAAATCTACCACAAAGTAAATTCGACTAAAAACCACCAATTTAAAAAGAGTCATACATGACCTATTTGTAAAATTTATATTATTTAGGTTACTTTAACAATTAGGTTGTTCAGTTACTGTCTTCGTCATTGTTCTTAAGAATTTCGGCCATTAAAAAAAAAACCATCACAGTCGTAATCTTAATTTACGTGTGGTGTAGATAGAGGTTTAAATGAGTGCGAAAAATAATTAATAAAATGAGTTCGAAAAATAATAAATCATATCGTTATACTTCCGATTTTTATCGTAAAGTGAAACGTCTAAAATCTCAAGTGCGGAACAACGTGACCTAAATATGTTATATTTACCTATAGGTAAATTTTTTATAAAACCTATAAGTTATTATTTCTTTAAATAGGTAAAGTTAACTAATATGTCGTGAAATTGAAGTTAATTCAACTTAGTAAAAAGGTATTTGTAAAATACGTAGATTTCCTTGGTCATAATAACTTTTAGGTCCAATTCGCACAATACGCCATATTTTCTTAACGTAATTGAAGTACGATTCCAAATTTTAAATTTTTAAAATGACCATAACTAAAACATACGAATGAAAATACCGAAAAACGAAACATTATTGATTTTCTAAAGTGATACACAACAAACGTAACATAGTTTTAGCTCATAATATTATTATTATTTTTTTACTCGATCATATTTTTTTCTTATATTTTTTTAATTAGAGAGTATTTTGGAAGGGCATTGTTATTTTTCTAAGTAGAACTGTTAACATGCACGACAAAATTTTCTTCGCATTAATTTCAACAAGCGTGAACTGTATATTCACCGCAATTACATTACATATATTTTTGTCACCGACATTTATTTATTTTCAATCTTTCATGTGAATTAGATATATGTTTTAGTTGTGTTGGTGACTTCTTACAATATTTCTACTTATATATAGATAAAAATACCAAATAAGTATAAAATTTCTTTTCGTACACTTGGAGGCATACGTCATCTGCAAATATTTTGGTAGTTTCTACCTAAACTTAGTTAAATCAACGTCGAATTAACGTTATACTGACGTCAAATTTCCCTAGAGAGGTATTACTAACTAAACGTACTGGGCTAATAAAACGTGGATTTAGATGTAATTCTACCTATTTTGGTAAATAAAACCAAATTTCGACGTCGTCTTATTCTCCACTTATGTCGAATCCACGTCGAGCCAACGTAGTTTACCTAATTATGGTTAAATCTAATTTTGCGACCAAATTTATTATATATAATTTAGGTAGTATCGACGTCAAATTACACCAAAATGTTTGCTGGGGATGGTGTCATACAAAGACTTAAAGATAATGAAATTAAGAAGAAAGTTAAGCTTCAAACAGCTAAGAAGAAAAATATATAAAAATCCAAAATTGACAGTTCAGGTGATGAAGAAAATGCGGACAACTTTAGTCTACACTCATCTTCGAGCGAGGCATCTTTATCTACGCTTTTAAGAAAAGAAGTAGAAGAACGCCAAGAGGAAGAAGAAGAAGCCTTTAAACCTGTGACTAAAAAGCAAATAGGCGATTTGGCAATTGTTAAATTCTGTACAAAAAAGTCAGTAAAATATTTTGTGGGTAATATTTTGTCATTTAATGACTATGGAGAAGCTGTTGTTAGTTTTATTAGGAAAGCGTCAGACCGTACAGGCATAACGACTTTCCATTTCCCATCTCAAGAAGACATTACAGATGTTATGGAAGATGACATAATCTACATTTTGCCGAAACCAACCATTGGACGCAGAGGAGAAGTGCTTTTTTTAGTAGGAGCTTTCATTCTGTTATGCTGTCATTTGTTTGTTTTTTAGTTAAATTCAGGATTTTTTATAACTTTTTACGGAATGAAAATTTTTAATTTCTGCAAATATAATCATTCTAAATGAAAAATTAAATGGTTTGCTACAACCAGATAGGTCCTTAAATTAACGTATAAAACGCTCATTTGAATCTTTTAAAATTTGTTAAAAAATATTTGTTGCAAAGTTAAACTTTGCGAAAACTAGTGCGCACTTGCCCTAGTTGACCTTAACTCGAGCTGCTCAAAAAATTTTGAATTTAGATTAAAACATTATCAACCACAGAATTCGCGACAACAGACAAAAAGTTAAATTTTGTAAACTAGTGTATTAAACTCAACATCCAGTACCCTCTAACGGTATTACGCCACTGTTCAAGCGCCACCTGACGTACGGATAGCGAATTAGGGCAGAGTCAATTGGTCGGGAGGCTCTCGGCACGTCTAATTGGACCAAAATTCGCATTAGGTGAAATTAAGTGCTCTTCTGTTTAGCTTCCAGATATGCAGAAGGGGATGGAAGAGGGCATCGGGGTGTACGTATTATATATAGCTTTTTGCTTATGGGCTAAGCGTTTAAGGCGATTTGTACAGGGAATTTTAATGTACGTAGTACGTACTAACATTGTAAATTAATATATTATTAAGAGTTTAATGGGTAAATGGTAAATCGATACCTGCCTCGAATAGTTTTGGGGGTGTTAAATTAATAATCCTGCAGGAGTTGCAATATTCTCAACGTTATCCAAAGTAGGTATATTTAGTTATTGAACAGGAAATGATTTTCGCAAATACAAATTAAAGAATCTACAAACTATACCGTTGTGTGTCTAGCCCAAACTTCTTACATCAAAGTTACTCATTGCAAATCACCTGCCAACGTTATACGTATTTACTTAAATATTAATAATAATAATAATAATAATAATAATAATAATAATAATAATAATAAGAATAATAATTGTATATACCTGATGATGGTTATTGACCTAAACTAGTCTCTTTTCTCCACTTTTTGTGGTTAATGCTTCGAGAATTTTCCCTTCCTTTACAATTAAAATTGTCTTATGGGGATTAATAATCTATATAGTGTTTGATTGAAAAAGTTCGTATGCCCCGTCCTACTTTGTGACATGTCACGTCTTGTTTATGTTTGTCGCACAAAATAGCTTGGTTTTAAGTGGTCACATTGTTTTTTACGGATTTGTTGACCTCTCGTTTTAACTACAGGCATTTCGTGCTCAATCAGCCTAGTGCACCGACAGAGATGTGCCAGAACATAGTGGCGTACCAAAAAATAGAGAAACGTGAAAAAGTTAGGCGGATGTACCATGTATATTCATTCTAAATGAACCAAAAGAGCTGTGTGATATTTTCAGGAACAGTTTGGTGATTTTCGGCGCAGATATTGGAATACATGATCCTACTTATATGCAACCAGTTATACTCGTTAGACTTTGTTTGTCCTACTCGTCAGAACTAAAAATCCGTTCTGTAAACTTGGCGTTAAATGAATACAACTTTTCTTAAGTATCGGTTTTCTCCGTTCCAGAAATAGGAATTCATCTGGAAAGTATTCTTCTTGGAAAAATCGAATCCATATTTTTCTTCTGCCTTATTTAAGTCATCTATATTTTTTTCAACTTGTCGACATATTGTTTAACCCTCTCATTAATCGTGTCTATCTTGAGTCGGGTAGTAAATAAATCTTTTGATTTGTAATTGTATTTAAACCCTTTTTTTACTTCGTTTTGCTCCTTTATCTTGCCATTCTCGTCTTCTTCCTTCGGCCACTTTTCTTCTATTTCCTTAAGTAAAGGAGATTCTTGATACCACATTTCCTGGAAAACTTCTTTTTGAATATCTAAGGTTCTGGTTGGTAAATCAGCAGAATTTAAAGCTTGTATTCTATTATCCTATTCTGTAAGCTACAAATCGTTTGAGCTTTCGATATACCGGGTGTCCGCGCGAAAACTTTAAATGGAATTATTTCTGGTGTTTTAAAATATATCGACTTGAAATTTTGGAAGGCCATTAAGGAAGTAGGGTGTAAATTAATAGTGTATAAGACACCACTCCAACGTGATATCTGCCGCCCCCAGCCACCTCCGGTTCAAAAGTTTAAATGACACCCTGTATTTTTTTTTACATATTCTGAAAGAGCGTAGTTTTTTTAGTATCTCTATGTGAAAAAATTACTTAATTACATAATGAACTTTGAAAGATATTTACAGCTAAAGGTTCAGATACCAGATATTCAAATATCGAAAGTAAAAAATAATAGCAAGCCATGAAAGCTGCTTCGTTACTTGAACTGTCAAATAATATTGTTTGTGACACTTCTGTTTACTCGTTAGTACAAAAGTTTTCGAAAAAATTTGACTTAGTTTAAATTAAATAGCTAAAAAAATAGAAAAATTGTTTACAGTTTGGAAGAAAGAACTGAAATTGTAGTTTTATATGGGTTTGCAAACATAAACTATTCGCAGACGGCAACATTATTTAACGAAAACCATCCCAACAAAAATGTATCTGCTGTTTATGTAATTAATCTAATACAAATATTTTTTGAAACTGGAATCGGTAAATAATAAAAAACGTGATATGAATAATTGTGGAGCACGAGATGAAGCAACGCAAGTTGCAGTTCTTTGTCACGTAAATTTAGACCTACAGCTTTCAGTTAGAAAATTATCAGAAGCTTCGGGAGTGGCAAAAACAACGTGCCATAAAATATTAAAATTAAATAAAATGCATCCTTATAAAATACAGCTTCATCAAGAGTTGGGCGACGATGACTTCGATAGAAGAGTCCAATTTTGTGAAACTATGACAGGCATGATTCGGCAAAATAGAAATATTTTGCGAAATATTTGTTTCAGTGACGAAAGTTGCTTTTTCTTAAATGGTTTCGTAAATAAACACAATTGTAGATATTGGAGCGATGTTAATCCCCACGTTTTCCGAGAAGGCCATACGCAACGTCCCCAAAAAATTAATGTATGGGCTGGAATTCTAAATAACCAAATAATTGGTCCAATTTTCTATCACGAGAATTTAACTGGGCCTAGATATCTCGAGTTTTTAGAAGAATTAATACATCCTCTTATCATTCAGTGCTTGGAAGAAAACTTAGATCAAATGCAGGAGGATCAGTTATACTTTCAGCAAGACGGAACTTGCCCTCATTACTGTTTAGAAGTAAGGCAATATTTAAATGCCGTTTTTCCAGGACAATTGATAGGTCGTAGGGGTCCTATTGAATGGCCAGCTTGCTCCCCAGACTTGACCCCACTGGATTTCTTTTTATAGGGACATTTGAAGTCTGTTGTTTACAGGACACAACCACAATCCATTGATGATTTGCGTAATAGAATCATAGAGGAATGTAGAGATTTAACACCACATGTCTTTGAAAATATTCGGAACGCTTTCGAGAATAGACTGTACTATTGTTTAAATGTAAACGGTGAACATTTTGAACATTTGATTTAACTAAAAAAATAAAAAGAGTCCTTACTTTAGTTTATAAAGCGAAATTTTGTTGGTCTATAAGAATACCTATTTTTGTGATAAGTTGTATTTTTTTGTGATAAGTTATATTTTTTTGGATAATTAGATATTTTTGTTTCTATCTGCTTTAATTATTTCGAAATTTGTCTACTGTCCAAGGTTACTAGTTCTTTTTTTTAATATCTGGTATCTGAACCTTTAGCTGTAAATATCTTTCAAAGTTCATTATGTAATTAAGTAATTTTTTCACATAGAGATACTAAAAAAACTACGCTCTTTCAGAATATGTAAAAAAAAATACAAGGTGTCATTTAAACTTTTGAACCGGGGCTGGCTGGGGGCGGCAGATATCACGTTGGAGTGGTATCTTATACACTATTAATTTACCCCCTACTTCCTTAATGACCTTCCAAAATTTCAAGTCGATATATTTTAAAACACCAGAAATAATTCCATTTAAAGTTTTCGCGCGGACACCCTGTATATTCTGAATTGCATCTGGGGAAGGTAATTTTTGTTATTTTTTTAAGGTTCTTTACCCATCAAAAAAATTTGAAGATATATCTTGGTGTTAATCTGCAGAGCAATTTAGAATGTTCTTTGTCGATAATAGCAAAAAATTTGCTACAAATCCATTTTTATTGCCGACATGTAAAAAATTATTTATTTCCCCCTTTTTGTAGGAGCACTAAGGGATAATTTAGATGACTCATCACTCCATCCTTTTTTCACAACGTCATGAGTGTCATATCGAATTCATCGAGATACACTATACATTTATTGGTTTGCATAAACCCAAAGAGTGTAGAACTTTTCTTATTGTAAGATTAGCCGTATATGGAGAACAAGAAACCAGTTTAATTTGATCTTTAATCATTTGAAAAGATGGCACAGTAATATTTGCATAACATTGGTAAATTTTTCTTCTTTTATTCTTTGTCATTTGAAAGACTTTTGATTTCTTTTTTCCCGAGGCGTTTCCTTGCTGGAAATAACTTTCGATATGAAGCTCTTGGATATTTTATACAAAACATGAATTCTTTCTACTACTCTGTAAGTAGACTCGTTAATTTCCAATTTATGCTGATGAGACATATTTTAAATAATCTTTTGACTAGATGGTGCCAAATTTTTGATGATTATCCTCTACAAATACATCTTCATTCTCTTCAAACTCAGAAGAAACTGTAACTGGATATACTCGTACACAAAGTTATTTATTCGTTAAAGTCAATTCTTACACTGTCACTTTCACATTAGTTTCAGGAGTAAGGTGAAGAATACAAAATCACGAGATTTCAGTTTTGGGTAAATAAATATTTAAATTTGGGACCCATGTGACTAAATTGATGTCATCAGTTTTATCTTTATCGGTTGTAAGCAGGTAGGGTTAGGTTTGGCCCAGAACACTGCGGCCTCTTGGGTCTATTGTATTCTCCTGCTTTCCCCGTATTCAGGTACTATCTTTGGAATAGTTTTGTGTCTTTGGTTAGTTTTAAT